GATCACTTCTAGGAATGTGCTGTTCAGGATCTTACTGTTTAGAAGCAGTATCAAAGCACTTGAAAAGARCATGTTCTTGTAGGGCTAGAACTTTAAAAGTTCTTGGGGAAAGGCTTTAGAACGCAGGATAAATAGTGCTTGCTGTCATAATTACCATGCTTTCCTTATATTATGTAAGATGACTTTAAATTTATTTACAAAAGTTCACAAAATTTTYTAATACTAAAACATTGTGGGAATTTCATAAACCAGATGCTCTGTCTTACATGGAGAGAGATGGATTGGGTTTCTGCCAAWACTATCAACAGATATCAAGAAAAGTGAGTATACTCCTTAAAATTGCTTGTAGGAAGTGGATGGTAAGAGGATCTTGCACACAGGGCCCTTTCTGCAGTCTAGCAAGATGTGTTTTTTCAGACGTAAACATAATTATATCACTCCTCATGTCTTGAGATGTGTGTGCATAAAAAAATCTGCTTTCTTTTGCCGTGTTTTCTAGGGTGTAGGGGGTGGCTTGATTTTTTTTTTTAAGTTGTTTCTAATTTTCAAATTCTTTGGGGATGCTGTTGGACCTAATCTACCTAGATTGACGGTCTGTTCTTCTGCAAATGAGGTGTAAATCAGGGAAGGCAACTGCAGTGGGCTTATAGCTGGCCCTTCTGCACGGAGGAGTTCAGGCAAATGGGAAGTTTTTCTGTTTTATCTTCTGTGTAGACAATGAAAATATTGACTTAGTAAAGCTTTCRTAACCATAAATGAGCCTGTATAGGGTGTACTGTGACTTAAGTTTGTTGTGGATGTCGTTAAAGTAATGGATGCTTGAAACTAGCTGGTGAGTAGTTCATTTTTTGGTTATGTTAATGTAGCCAAAACTGACAGACTTTCTTTGAATAATTATTAGAACTTAGTTCCGAGAGCATGTATGTTCCCTGTCTAAATAAAATGAAGCTTGTATTAATATGCAGATACATGGTACTTTAACAGTGACTAGTGGCTGGCTTCCTCTGAATAAGTCATCTGGTGTAAGAGGAAGTGTTTTGGGGGACAAGAAGATCTCATCTTGCAGCAGCAGGTGTTGCTGATTCCCGTCTTCATGGRTCCCAAGCAGATTTGGGGTACCACCTTTGTAAAGTGAAAACTGTGTTTCTCCAAGACAGTAGCAGGTATCTTGTATCCTTGCAGGGGAAAAGGTTTCTGTCTTGCACTAGCCTGAAGCACCAGCAGCGCTTAATGTACATTGTAGGGCAGGCTATCCCTGTCGTACTGATCCAAGGCTTTGTGTGCCAAAAAACAAGGACAAATGATCATGTTACTTTTCTGTGAAAGCAGCTTCGGTCTCTTCTTTAGCCACTTTAAACTTAAAAAACGTCTGTGATGCTGGAACCCTTGTCCCGAATGGGAGAAGGGGAGAGCTGGTGGCAGCGCCTTGGGGCGAGGGTGATGGGGAAATGGCTCTGCTAGACTTTCTTGTTTTGCCATTGGGACGGTCCTTCCCAATTCACGCCTGGAGACCTCTAGTCAGAGCAGAACTTTTTAAGGGGATTTCCTTAAAATYCCCTTTTAGGAGATTGATGAGGAAGGCAGAGGCATCTGCTCTCGTCTCCTCTGTGGAAAGRAAGGCGCAGCTCTGATAGGAAAGCGTGGTGGTTCCTCTGGTGCTCAGTCCTTTGAGAACTGGGTCTGCCGCCGCTTGGTGAGGTTGGGCCRTGTGTTGCCGTGGCCCAGGCCGGCCTCCGGAGGTGCCTGTTTGGTCTCTTCTAGAACGAGCAGCCCTGGGAGTTCCGTCTCCGTGGGAGGACGTCGCTTGGCTGCTGCTTTGTGCACGGGCCGCTCTGACGCAGAGCGCAGCCTTCCCTGGCCGCTGTTAAAACCGCTGATGCTTGTGCGGTGTCTAGCAGGTATGAAAGAGCTTCTGCTGTGCAGATARGTTGGAGTACCTGAAATTTGCAACTCTTTCATTTCTTTTCAATGCTTAGTTTTCCTAATAATGATTCTCATTATTGAAAGGTAATTTGACGCTTCTTCTAGAGGCCTTATCCGAGCTCTGTGGGCTTGCATCCTTTTGAAGAGATCGTTTTCAAAACTGGATGTAAAATCTGGGTTAGGGGCTCAGAAGGGCTGAATAAAATGAGACATCAGTTAATACATTTACATCYCATGAAAATGACATCTCTGCAAGATTTTTTTTTTAACTGCTGTTTAAATTCTCCCCTGTGGAGTGGAGTGGTGTCTCCCCCTTCACATTTCATCTTGTGCTGCTGATTGTTGCTAGCAGAGAATACTTCATGCTTATCCTTACTGAGTTGCATCCTTTTTCTTTCAGACCACTGCTCCAATTGTGCAGGATTTTCATGATCTCTTTCTGCTGTCCACTGTGCTTGCAGACCACCTGCAGGTATAAASATGGTCTGTATCACAGTGTCCAAGTATCCTCTAACAGTCTCAGAGGAGACTCTGAAGAGATCATTTTGATGGGACCTTCTATATTGCATCGAAGCATTGGAGAGCCACATGAACAGTGGACATAACAGTTGTGGGCCCAGCTTGGGGGCTGTGGGGGTGCTGCTCTGCGTAGGAGGTGGCCCTTGGTCACTGGTGGGCCTGCGAGGGAAGGGAAGGGAGCAGAGGCGCTGTGTGTGGAGGGAGGTGGGACGGGGGCCTGGCGGCAGCGGCCGTGACCGGCTGGACCGGGGGCCGCACGGACAACCACGTGGGAGCCCCGGGCCCTGCAGCCCCCACTGTGGTGCAAAATTGTGCAGGTTTTAACAGTGTCATTAAAAATAGATGTCTCAGCAGCCTGTGAGACTYGGGAATAGCAGTTCTGACTTGCACATCAGGCATTGCCTCTCATGTGGGTTTGYTTTTTTACCTTTTCTGGTCAGATAGCTCTTCCTGTAAAGGTCTTTCTTCCCTGAGCAATTAACATTGTGCTAAAATGCAGTTATGGAGTAAAAAATGTTCTCTTGGTACAACTCAATATAAATGTTGTGTTGATAGGATAACCACTTTTGTATCTTTCCAAACACTTGATKGAGAGTAACACAAATACCTGGCCTGGGCTATGAGCCCAGCAACAGCCCTTCTGACCTGTGTGCTCTGTGGTTACAAGCCACAGGCTTTTAATACCTGACAGTGGCCATAGGCTCGATGTGCTGCAGATAATGTCCTCAATAGAAAGTCATCTAATTTCTAAATCCACTTTCTGCCAAAGATGTCTCTATGGCTTTTCTAATCCTGCTTGGGGCTCATCCTGCCCCTGAGCGAGGGAATGCCGCTGTTCCCGTGGGTGCCGGTTGCCTCTGCGTGTGAGGCCCTGCGCCCTGGCCTTGCCCTTCCTCCCTGCTAGGGCAGTGAGTAGCCGTGTCACCAAAGTGCACGGTGCTTATTATGCAGGTGTGCAGCTCGTGTGAGGAGGGAGCGTGTTACCAGCCTGAGCAGACACCTGCATTCGCAGCCGTTGGGCTGAACCCCGCGCTCCCGGGGGGACGGAGGAGGAGTCTTGGACTGATGTGACCAGTGGTCAGTAAGGGCCAGGGGTCAAGGCTGGTGCTGAGCGGTAGCTGGGCCAAGCCCACGTAGGAACCAAACTGCCACAAGTAATAGCGGTTGGTTGCAGTGCTCCTTCTGTGATGCTTGGTTTTGTTTTGATGTGTACAGAAATGGTGCTTTAATGGAAAGCTAAATGGCTGAAGACAGTCGCTGTACGAGGTATTCTTGTAGTGCACTTAGGGGTGGGCAGATGTGCTTCTGTCATTGGTAGAAACTTTGTGGCTTAAACTGTCTTGAAAGGAATGGTAGCTAGTGCTGGCTTTTCTACAGGCTGCTCAGTCAAGCTGCTGCAGCCTTCGCAAGGGTCAGYATGGTTATGCCAGTGGAGAGGTAAGTCCAGGAGTGATGAAAGCTGTTCCTRGTGCCAGCAGGATGCTCCGAGGCAGCCTCCGGGGTGCTGGCCCTGTGCTGCATGGCACCCCGTGGGGACGAGTGTCCCGGCAGCTCGTGGGCCCGCAGCCACCATCTGTGGGACCGCGTGTGGGCGGCCCGTCTTGGTGCTGGCAGCACGTGTGCAGCCCGTGCCGCGGGCCCCCTCGTGCCAGGAGCCACCCGCGCAGAGCCGAAGGTGCGAGCGCAGCCGGGAAAAAGGTGCAAAGCACTGCTGTGGCACATAGGGCTGTCCGTGGTGAGGGTGCAGGGGCTGCCGAGCGCTGCTGCCATCCGCGGGGCTGCCACGGTCAGGGCACATGGGGCTGCCGAGCGCTGCTGGCCGCGGGGCTGCCCACAGTCAGGGCATGTGGCGCTGCCGAGCGCTGCTGGCCACGGGGCTGCTGCTCTGAGGGCACGCAGGGCTGCCAAGTGCTGCTGCTGCCCGCGTTGAGGGCGCGCGGGGCCGCGCAGCTCTTCACGATCATCAATTCCCTGCATGCTTTTTCCTCGGCCTTGACTTAATCTTCCACAGTTTGGATGGGACATGTTTGGCTCTGCCGCAGCAGCCCTCTTGGACTCGTAGGGTGCTAAGCAGGACAGAAATACTGTGTATTGCTTCTGAAGATACATTTCTTGTATATATTTTTTACTCTCTCAAATATTTTTGAGTTAAGGTATGTGTAACATTAGAATGATGTAGAACTTATCTGCAGGATACTGTCAACACGTTATGGGATGCTGTAGTAAGAGCTTTTACAGTCTTTTTACAGTAGTAACTTGAAATGGCCTGAAAATCCAAAGGGTGTTTGGGGTGGTTTTGCTTGGGGACTTTTTTTGGTGAGAGGGAGGACTTGTTTTTAATTAAAATCTCCTTAGCAGCAACCCATGGGCTTAGTCTATTGAAACAGTAAGGCTTTTCAGTCACTAAACTCCTCCTAAGGAGTTCTGTGGAGTCTGTATACCTTGGGGCAGAAACCTAACCTGTCTGGATAGCTATTTGTAAGGTAGGTAGAATAAGAGTTGGTATTTTAATTGCATATCCATTTTCAATATCTCTGTTTGATTCTTGGATCTCATAGGAATCCGTCAACCGCATTCTACCAAGCGTTCCATTTCAACAAGTTGCGTGAGTCAAAGACCTTCTGGGATAGGTATGAACTCCCCAATGCCACCACATACGTGCCCCAGTATGCATGAACAGCTTCGCTCTGTGCAAGTTTCTCGTCATCTTATTTAGTTTGCGCAAAGTATGCTGCTTGTGTTCAGCATTTCGCGTGGCACTTCCGCAAGCCCAGCGTCTGAAAGCAGTCCCGGAGTTATTTCAACTGCAACTTAAATGRTTTAAAGTACTCTGTGACACTTCTCTTCTTCCTCCTTCCGTTGTGCATGTCCCCTACATTATGAGTAAGCTGAAAGAGTTTTAACGCTAGTCAGCTATTAGCTGACCTTCGCTAAAATATCTACAGCTTCCTTTTCCAAAAAAGGAAACTTTGGTTTTGAGACTTTAAGTCCCGTGTCAGGAGACAAGTTGTGAAAATGCCACATTTAAGTGCGATTTCAGCGAAGTTAAAATCTTTCGGTCTTAAAACCAAGAAAGGAAGTTTTGTGGCTTGCTTTCATTCTGCTGAAGTTAAGCTAGATGGGAACAAACCTGTCTATGAAAAGATAAGAGAACAAAGAAAACCTACCAAGTTAGCTCTGAGCTCATGGCGAGAAACTGCAGTGAAGTCATATTTATGTTACGGATATGACTTGTCAGAGATGCATTACTAATTCATTAGTAGCTGCAAGCAGCGTTTCTTTCCTGCACTTGAATGATTTTTGAAGGTTTTTTTTTTTTGTCAGCATTACATAGAAGTCCTAGTGATTATTTAACTTTGCCTTGTGATGCTCTGGCCTTTCACAAGATCCCTGCTTGAGTTCTCTGGAATATATGTGTGTGTGTGTGTGTGTATGTATGTGTATTTGATATTGACAACCATTTGATGGTGTTGGCTGTACTTGACCTGAGAGGCTCACAGGACTGACAGAAGCTTTGCAGCTCGCTTGGCAGCGATTGCGTCCCGTGCTGTGCTGGTGGCTCAGCATAAAGCTCACGCATCCTGCTCGGGGTTCTGTTGAGGTGCTAGCATAGGCTGAGCTTCAAAGCACGTCCTTCCTTTCTAACAAACTTTTGTGGCTTTTTTTTTTTTTTTTTTTGCTTCAAGTCATGTCACTTCTCTCTAAAGACAGTGTGCTATTTAGGTTGAAAGTGCTTTATTTATTTAATTACCGTAAGTCTCAGGGCCTTGAATACAAATGTGATATGCAGGGTGAAAGGCCATGTTTAGGTCTAGCCTTCATTTGTTTCTCTGTACTCATGTCTCAGTTTAAAATGACTCTTAAAATGAGGAAGCAAATTTAAAAGCTGAAGTTATTAATGATTCAAGTTGAGCATTGAAGTATCTTAGGTGTACATAATAACATCCAGAGCAAGTACTGCAAGTTTGTGGATCATGGAGAAACACCAAATTTGGGTAGATCTTTGAATGCTGCTTAGTAAAAACAAGTATTTGCTCAAAAACAAAACACCACAGAAGCATCTTCATCAGATTTAATACAGGTTTTAAACTTCCAATTGCTTCAGATTCCCCATCCTTTGAGAAGGCTTAGGGGTTTTGGGATTCGTATCCAACTTGCTAGACTTTCTTGAAGTCGCTTGGTGTAGTTTGACTTTACTTATTTGGATGGCTGATACTGAGCTGCCTTCAACACCACACTTCCAGTGGAAACCTGATAGAGGACACCTCAGTGGAAGGGATATGGTGGGGGTGGCTCGTGGCGGCAGCAGTGCGGTAGGAGGCCGGCGCCTTGGGCTGCCCCGAGCGCGGACGGGCCAGGACGGGGCAGCGGGAGCTTCTCTGGGCTCGCAGCAATGTCTCGGCTGAGGGTGAGAATCCGCTCCCGCCTTCGAGCTGTTGGAGAGCAGAGCGCCTGGGTCTTGCCTTTCTGTGGTGACCCCTTTGTGGGAGAGAAATCTGCTCTGAAACTGTAAAACATTCTAATGCCATCAAAATCCAGCCAGGTTTTCCATCCCCAATTTTAGGGGCTCCTTGAACCACAAGTGTGTGCATCATAAGCCTGCTGACAGACTTTTTGGTTACATTTTGCAGATCTTTCAGAAGTAGTTCATGTGCCCCAAGGATGTAAATAAGGCGACTGTAGCCTAAACACAATGGAAATCTTCCTGTGTAATGTCAGCTTTCTGTTTCTTTGTTTCTGTTTAATTTCCCCTAGCAAATGTGGCTTGTTCTCCTATGAGTAGCCCTCTCCTGGGACCATCTGAGTCAACAAAGCAAATCATGGGCTATTGCAAGGACAGTCAAATATTACTAGAAAATGCTCTGGAAAGAGACTTAATTCTATTTTGCTAACCCATCATCATGGGGAGAGTGCTAATAACGCTCAAACCATTAAATATYAGTGAAATATTAGTTGTTATAGACTTCTAGGAAACCTTGGAAATGTTTCTTCTGTGTAGTGTTCACACAGGTGTTCCTTAGGGCACAAGTCTCATGAGTCGCTTTCCAAGTAGTGCAGTTCCTTGGAGGATTAAGGAGAGTAACAGCCTCTTGGCACCACATCAGGTGAGCCTGAGAGGGTGCTCTGCTGCAGCACAGGCTTCCTGCAGGTGGTTGTGAGCTTGGCTGAGTTTGCCTAAAACAGCCATGGTTGGTGAACTTCAGTTTGAGTTGCATTTCTATGTGCATCATGAAAATGTTGTGTTTAAAAAAAAAAAAAATCCACCCATATAAACATTTTTGAGGCTGTGCTGGTCAATATGATAAATTGTAATCTCTCCCTGTGTTGTATTATGCTGGACTTGCATTTCCCAATCCTGCAGCTCTCTGTCAATGAGGTGCCCTTTCAGTGAGGTGGAGAATGGGAAGCGTGAGAGTTTCATACTTACTGCTTGCAGCCATATCTGGAAATTCCGAGGGGAAACTCTCCTGACTTACCAAACTCTCCAGACCTACCAAATTAAAGGAGTTGGTTTGGGACCAGGCAGGCGCCTCGTGGCTGGCTCTTGCAGCTCCTGTTGCAGTTGGTGCGGCTCGTCCTGCTGCTTCCTCCTGGTGGAAGGCGTGCGCAGGGCGGCTTTGCATGGGGATGAGTGGCGCCTTGATTACTGCCGCTCAGGCTCTTAGGTAAGCTAATAACCATAACTAATAATTTTTCTTCAGTGTGTCCAGAGCCAACTAAACAAGTCCAAAATGAGAGCCTCAAAAACCAAGCCGCTTAAACTTGCACAACACAAGCCTCACTGCTTTTGACTTTCGTTATTTGCCTCTGAATTACCTCTTATGAGCCAAGTATACTTGTCTAACTGAAGCTTTTCATTGAGAGTCAAGAGCTTTTTAATCTGCTGATTCAATGTGGCTTTTTTGTTTAGCTTCTGAGTTGAGTTATGCTGTACTGAATAGGGTGTTTGCAGAGTGTCCGAGTGAAGATCTCAACYGTCGATAGAAGCAGGTAGCTGCTTGGCGAAGAGCTAGCGAGTACACTTACCTGCAGAGACCGACACCTGTCAGTATTCCTGGGGCTGTGAATTCATTCTTTATATCTTAACAAAGACAAAAATGTGGGAGTTGGAAATACCCGCATTGTTACTTCCAGGACTGGATAGCTGTTCCTGTTGAGAGCCCCTCGTACCAGGTCTCACAGCTGGATGGAGATGGACTAAAGGTCAATCAAGAACAAATCAGGCTTCTTTAGCAGGACCAAGTCGCTCCATGATAAGATATAAGCATTGTCCAGTGAAGGGGTTTCAGTAGCTCGTAAATGAGCAAGTCAGCGAGGGGCAGAAATAACGTACGTATTAATTGGCATTTGGCTGGTAGGCGTAGGGAATGTGGGAGCTCCCGGCCGCCCGCTGCTCCCCGGAGGGGTTACGTGGCTGCTGACGGTGCTCGTGGCTCGTGCTTATATACAATTATTCTRTCCCTACATGTGGGCACAYGCTTCTTGCTAGAACAATTCTCTGCTCCATGAGGACAGCAGCGTTCCTGCTTGGTTCTCGGTTGGTCAGTTCGTATCTCGGTGCTCCCCCTTGCATCCCTCTCTGCTTGGCTCGCTTCCTCTATGGACTTCTTGTTTTTCTCTCCTCAAGGCCACCTTAGAAACAGAGCTGTGTGCATTGTTAAACATGCCTTTTTTAAATGTGCTTTATTAAACGTACCTTTTTWAAATGTGCTTTGTTAAATGAGCTATGTGCTCTGTTAACCTGCTTGTATGGCTAGTTCAGTGCACCAGTTCATAGTTTCTTCCAGGTRCCTTCCTACAAGAATCTCTTTCCACACTTAGTTGACTGAAAATATTTCTGACCTTTTCATAAAAGCTGAATTTTAGGTGTAGTTTCAATTTTGCAGGCATAGGATTGGATTTTTTTTTATGGAAGCTGGGCCTGATATGAGCTGTTTAAGATTTGGGGAAAAATGCAAAATGGTAAGATTTGGCAGTGTGTTTAGGCCGGAGGGGTGGGCTGCGCTGGAGCCGGGTGCAGGCAGCTCGGGTGCCTTCCTGGCACGGCTGGGCCTTGGCCCTGGGAGCCTGGCATGAGCGACCGGGGACGATGGAGCAGAACAATGGAGCGCGAGGCCCGAGGGGAGCTGCGGGAGTGGGGAGCCGGCCGCGCTCACGCGAGCGGCGCCGGGGCGAGAGCCGCAGCCCGGTGCAGTGCCGGGCAAGCGCCTCCGTCGTGCGCGTGGGCACTGGTGCCCCGAGTGCAGAGCCGAGGGCCGCGGGACTCCTGCAGTGTCCTAGCGTTGAGGGCACCTCGCGTCGCACCACAGGACTATTGCAGGGCCGCTCTCAGGCTTCACTAGAGAAGCATTGGCACAAGCGGGTGGTGTTGCTGTGAGCTGGTTCCAGGGYCAGGGCGCGGGTGCCGCTGCCTGCTGCCCCGTCCTGGTGGCTGCAGCCCCTCGTGCCCRGCAGCGCCCGCCTGGCCAGCGAGGAGCTCCGCGCAGCGGCGTGGGGCTGCCCGTGCCGCAGGCACCTCCTGCTCTGGGAGCTCCCCGGGAATACGGCTTAAAGGAAGACAAGACGTGCAGCAGCTTGCTCCGCAGACGGGTGTTCAGCGTCTCGGCTTGGGCCCGAAGCTTGGCTCGCTCAGAGCCAGAGGCAGCTGCTTTCTCGGTCTCAAAAGCCAATTCGCTCAGCTTGTAAACGTGGCTTTGGTGCTAGGATTGCCTGCTGCACGAGGATTTTTTTTATTTTCTTTAGACTTGGTGAAGTTAATCTGTCCAAATAATGGCATATTTAATAACAGACTCTTGTTTCCTTTATGTAATTGGCACTTCTGAGCCTGTTGCCAAAACCTGTAATTTTAAAAACTATGGTTTTTTTAACAGTCTTAGTGTCTTTATTTATTTTTAAAGGTGCAAGATTCCAGATATGACTGCAAGCCTTGCATTTYTCCTCCATGCTCGTTTTGCAGGCACGTAGCTGCGTGTGGCTGATAACGCCGCTATCGGCAGCTCCTGCAGAGCCTGTCTGCGGAGCAGGGCCGGAGCAGCTGCCGCTGGGGACCCGCTGCTCTCCCGCGGCCTGGAAAGCAGCCGGAGAGACAGCTTGACCTGAGCTGAGCTTAAAGAGGGGCTTGCACGTGGCTTCCTGCAGGGACTGGCTGCTTTCTGCCGCTGCTGGGGTGTTCTGGTGGAGCGTTCTGTGCCACAGTGGCTGATCCAACACACACTCTGTGGAAATGCACGCTCTGCCTCTCTCGTCTTCTGCTGGCTATTGCCATTCAGTTGCAAAAATGGAAATATGGTACAGATGTGATACTCTCTTTCTTACTGGAAAGTGATCTTCCAGGAAAGCCAGTGGAAAAAATATTACGCATTAGTGGGTCTCTGTCTTCCCAAGTGAAGAAAGCTGAGAAATGAGTCAAGGCATCAAAGCAGTTAATTTACTCCCACTGTAACGCACTTTTCTGTCTGTGCCTCCTAAGCATATCCCGAGGAATTGGGAGCTGCAGGAGGCTGGGGCCTCGGGACGCGTGGGGTGACTGCAGCGCCTGGGGGCGCGTTCCCCGYGCCGGGGGCCGCGGAGGCACCCGGACTTGCGTCTTGCAGCTGTGCGGTGACCCGGGAACGCTCACCCTCTGCTTTCTTTTCTCTTTGCAGTGCATCTGGTGCAAGTGTTGTTGCTATTGACAACAAAATAGAGCAGGCAATGGTGAGTAGAAAGCAACTTCTTATTCCAAATGCCATGAACCCTTGGACACTGAGCAAAACTTCCCAGCCCTATGTTCTTTCTGCAGGTCTCTTWATATGCCTTCAGTCAGGTCAGATTACACCATTTTTTTGACAAAATGACTTCATCCCAACTATGGCATGGCCACAGACATGAATTGTTTTTACATTTAATCTAAGGAGGTTCTCAGTTACACTGTTGGCCTAGAAAGTCTCTCCAGTGACTCGCTCTACATATCGCTGCAAACAAGCTGGTTGAGCTTAAAGGGATGCAAGAAGCGCACGTGAGACATTGGCAGTGAGTTGTGCTGGGGAGACCTGAGCGCAGGTTTGGGCTGAGCTCTGCACTTTGTGGAGCTTCAGCTAACGGGGCCGGGCCGTCGTCGGAGCCGCCGGGCGCTCCAGAGCCCTGGGGGCCTCCGAGGCCCCAGCGCCCTGCGTGGCCTTGCAGGTCACGGTCTCAGTTTCCTGTTGTGTTACACATATGCACAATATAAAAGAAAACAAAAAAAGGCCTTTAAAAAGCTCTGTGTCCAAAGAGGCTAGTTTAAAAACAGTTATTCTTTTTTTTTTTGTTAAATTTGTTTTTAAGTGAAAAATGCTGTATTTTACTAGAAATACCTAAGTTGCTATGTGCTAGATGTTAGCTGGTGCTGGAAATGAAGGCTCTAGGAGTGAACTGAAGAGTCGGGTTATTTGCTCTGAAGGCTGATGTGCTCCTAAAGCCCTTAGTTTTCCAGCCTGGCTGTTTAGTTCAGTACAAATGGTAAATAGCAAATTCTGGGGGTGGAATGGAGTGAAACTGTCTGTACATCTGGTGTAACTGTCAACTTCTTCACAGGATCTAGTAAAAAGCCATTTGATGTATGCGGTAAGAGAAGAAGTGGAAGTCCTGAAGGAACAAATAAAAGAATTGGTTGAAAGAAACTCTTTACTTGAACGAGAAAATGCACTGTTGAAATCCCTTTCCAACAGCGACCAGCTGTCCCAGCTCTCAGCCCAACAGGCCAATCCCAGTAGCACTTCCCAAGGCCCGGCCGTGCTGGCGCAGCCCGCGCAGCCGCCGCAGCAGCCGAATGTCTCCTCAGCATAAAGCTTTCTTGCCTCATGTAAAAACAAAGCAACAACCGACCTGAGAGCAGTCTGTCCTTGTGTGCCACTGGTGTCCTTCCCACCCCGTGCGAGCGCGCGTAGCTTCTGTCGTGTGTCTGGCCTTGTCAGTATTAGACAATCATCCCGGAGCGCTTCCCGCGGCGGCGCAGGGCGGCGGGCGCCCGCTGTGTCCCACCACCAGTAACAATTCACCCGCAGAGCCACTCTTCTTTCCCGATAAGAAACATTTGCCTACATTAGTTTCATTTATTTGTTTTATTTATTACAGGGCTGCTATTTTCATAATGTACATGAACAATGTCACAGAACTTTTTTAATTTTTTTAATAAATGTATGTATCAGTAAAATGATAGACGGGATTGCGTTTAATAGATAAAATGTTTAGGCAATAATTGAACAAAAGAATCCTGGCATATTTCTAACACTAATGGCAATTTACCTTTGGTATTTATTTACGGTAGTAAAGATCCAGCTTGAATGTAAATTTTGTATAGAGTGTAAGTATGAAGACCATAGTGCATCTGTACAGGTAGTCACCAGTTATTGTGATATAATAAATAATTGATGGGCTATTTTGATGAAGAAAACTTTGCTCATTTCTGTTTCTACTTTCTAATAGAGAGAAATTGCCATGATTCCTCTGCTTTTTGACATTTCGTATAACTTTTTTTTTCTTTTTTTTTTTTTTTGGGTGGGAATAAAAAGCTGTGAAATTGTTCAACCTACTTTGTAACCAAAGAAGCAAAGCTGTGTAATTGAGTTCTTTTTTTTTATTTTATAATGCACATTCTTTATGTATTTTTGTTTAGTGTTTTCTCATTCACAACTTTCTTTGCTGTCTAGCATGATCTGCATGACCTATAATCTTTGAACCACTTTCGTACCTCATGTTTTTATCCAGCACTCTTATTGTAATATGTAATAGTCTGTGAACAATGTCAAATAAAAAAGAAAGAACAGCTGGTGTTGGTGGAGTTGAGCTAGTGTGCTATGCACTAGTTGTTTAAAAAAATGAAGTGAGCCATCTTTTGTTCATTTAAAATGGTGTTTTGAATTTCGTATGCAGAAAACGTTTTGTTACATTGCAGATTTTAATGTATTTAATAAATGCAACATGCAGATTAAGTGCAGTGTATACTGAGTATTTAAATTAAAATGTACATTTCATAAATAAAGTTTCAAGAGAGACCATCATTTGTGTAAACTAGCACAGTATCTCAACTTGGCGTATAAATATATATGTGTATTTTAACACGTTTTCTGAAATTAAACTGCATTTTTTTTCCTCTAGGTGTGTTTGAAAGGCAGCTCCCCTGTAAGGTGCATCTGCTGGTGCCTTGCTCCCGCTGGTGGGAGCTGGCGGTGGTGCCTGCGGCGGTGCGCACGGCGGTGGTGCCTGCGGTGGTGCACACACGGTGGTGTCTGCGGCGGTGTGCACGGCAGTGCATGCGGCAGTGTGCACGGCGGTGGTGCACACATGGTGGTGCCGGCGGTGGTGCGCACGGCGGCGGTGCATGCGGCAGTGCGCACGGCGGTGGTGCACACACGGTGGTGCGCACGGCGGTGGTGCACACACGGTGGTGCCTGTGGTGGCGGTGCACACAGCGGTGGTGCACACCAACCCGGGCCAGTGTTGCGCGCTTTGCAGCACCAGGGGCATGCGGGGCACCCGCTGCCCTGTGCGATGCGGCAGCCGTGCAGGGACAGGAGCCTCTCTGGTGGCGCGGGGGAGGCCGTAGGAGGCTGGGCCCGTCCTGCCCGTGGGGCCCTGCAGTGGGGCAGAGCAGCAAGGTGGCCCGTGGAGCAGGGCCGCGTTGGGCCGTGTCCCTCTGCGTGCCCGCGGGGCCGCTCYGGCGCCCGCGGCTCAAGGGCAGCGCACGCTGTCCCCTCTGTGCTGCCAGGAGCACAACTCCACTGCGTGCCCCAGGCCTGTCCCTGACTTCATTCTTTTCTTCTGTTGGTTTGTTTTTGTAGCGATGCAGGTAAAATKTGGCTGTGCACAAGGGCTTTGGAAACAGGTCGACGTCTTCATGTTCTTCAGCCAGAGGTTTGGTTGGGAGAAAGGTCCGCGCGGAGCGGTGGCRGGAGCTGCCCCTCGGTGCACCGGGACGCGAGCTGCGTCGCGGTCTGCTCGGAGCCCGGCCGCGCTGCTCCCTCCGGCGCCCTGGCACCGGCTGTGTCTCCGTCCTGGCCCCCTTTCATTTGCTGCATAAAAGCTTCAAATATACACAGAAGCTGTACATTTTGATGTCTGCAGCTGGCAGGGAAGCAGCTTTGTCCAGTTCTCCAGCATTGCACCGTTCTGGTAAGCATCAGTTCACAGTTCAAATCAGCATATATGTATTAAAATATGTATGTATGTATTTATATATATATGCTTATGTATGTATATGTATTTTAAGTACTCGCAGGTAAAGTGCTAAGGGATTCATTCTGGTCGGGGGCTGCAGCTCCCGGGTGCCCTGGGCACGGTGAGCCCTGCTGCGAAGCCTGCGGAGCAGCAAGTGCAGAGAAGCAAAGTATTTCGGTAGCTAAAGTCGTCAAAATGAAAGTGTGAGTAACAGCTCGCTGGCCTTGTGCTAGGGCTACAGACGTAGAGGAAAGTCTTACTAGAGCGGCTGGTAAACTAAGAAAAAGGGGACTAATCTGGGGATGTCTGGAAGTAAAAGTGTTCCTTCAGATGGGTAGTTAACTGAGACTTCTCCAGAGGCACCGGCATAACCAACTCCCTTCTCTCCCTAAGGGACAGAAGCAGCAAGGAGCCCAAAGCAGCCCGGCAGAGGTAGAATACRAGGGCGAGGAGGAGGAGGAAGAAGAGGAGGAGGGGCCGAGGCCTCTTGTCCCGCAGCACCGGTGTCTTCAGCGCCTCTCCCTCCGGCGCAGCGTCTCTAACTGCAGGTGGTAGCTGGCTTGGATACCCTTTAAGYACCTGTGTTATTGAGAGCTTAGCTCCCTTTGGAGGTAAAAAAAATAAGTAATTAGCAGAACTGCAGGAAATAGGGGATAGAGCGAAGGTTGAACATCCCATGGAAGAGCTGTGCTTTGCTTCACTCTGCCCTGCTCTTTTTGCTTTCTCCTAGTGAAATTGTGTTCAGCTACAAACATTAACTGGGAGAACCCTCTAAAACAGCAGGGTGGAGTTCAGAGGACGCTCTTGTTTGTGCTGTCCCTGCTGGCAGGGGACACTGGGGAGCACAAGGACCAGCACACTGTGGCAGGGGACGGTCCTCGGTGTTTTAGGGGTTTGGTGTCAGGGGAGGCGCAGGAAGGACAARCTTCAGCCGAGTGAAGCAGCCGCTTGAGTTTTAGTGTGATCAGGTTCCATTGCGTTGCTATTAAAATGTCACCACCCCCCAAGTCCCTGGAGCTGCTGCGCTGGGAGATGGGGCAGTGTCCAGCTCAGGCACRTCCCTTGCTGCTCTCCCCAGGGTCAGTCCTGGCTGCCGTGCAGGGGGCAGCGCTGCTCGGCRAGGGGGGCGGCAGCACCAGGAACATTCAGGGCGAGTTGCTGCTTCGTCAGCGCTCGTGTCTGTATGGGAGCAAAAAAGGAGAATCCCATGGGCTGCGCGGCCCCCGCGGGCTGGGGGCACCCGTGCCCCCATGCTGCTGCCGGCAGCTTGGAGCGATGAACGCAGAGAACGCTGCAAACGGGCAAGGCCCAACTGCAGTCACTGCTGCCGCTGCCTCCACACAACGGGTACCAACGAGCAAATCCAAAACCCCCCTGCGCCGCGGCCGGTTTTGTGTTGTCCCCAAATGTGCTGTGTGTGCCCTGCGCGGGTCACCCCAACCGGGCCAGCGAGACGTGTCCGTTGCTGCGCACGGTGGCTGCGGGGTCCCCCACGGCACGGGGGGGGACGGCACGGGGTGCCAGGCAGACCCTGCTCGCAGTGCTACGTGCGCCTGCTCCTTCGCAGATCACACTGGTGCCTCCCAGTCGCCTCCCGTCCCACTGGGTTTGGAAACGCTCCTGGGGGATTCGCTGGAGCAGCTCTGGGGAGCGGGGCCCGGCTGAGCAGAGGGCTGCTCAGAACCTCTCCTGGCTACGGTTGGTCACGGTGGGGCCCTGCGCTCTGTCCTCCGGAGCCTCCTCCGTGGCCGATTCCCTTGGGCTGGGCTCGGGGCTCCCTTGGGGCCAGGTGCACCCGGCTCGTGCAGCCTTGTAGGGGCTCCCTTCAAGGACGGCAGTGCAGTGTCTATCAGCAAGCAGGATGCCTTGTTGGTAGATAACCAGCGTCAAGGCTGACAGTGCACGTGTTCCATCAGCGGACCAAAACCAAAGGCAGCTGTCGGGCTGCTGCGCAACCATGAAGCTGACTGGTCTGCTTAGGAACTGTGCTGCACTCGCAAGAGAGGCGTTATAACCGGGACCTTATAGGTAAACTTTCAAAGAGCCGCTGTGGCCGCCACAAACGGCCCCGGGACGCGCGAGGACAGCGGCCCCGGGCGCCTCTCCCTTCGTCTGGTGCAACCAGCTGCCTCCGGCGGCAGGAAGGGCTGTGGGAGCCAAACCTCGGCAGGCAGGAATCAGCCAGAGCCCCCGGCATGGCCGCCCGCCCGGGACACGGAGCCCCCGGTATGGCCGCCCGCCCGGGACACGGAGCCCCCGGTGTGGAGCAGCTGGGCAGCGGCACCGGGGAACCCCGGCTCTGGTAGCCCAGCTCCCAGCCCCGCGGGACCCCGGCCCCGCTGCCCTGGCTCCCAGCCCCACTGCCCTGGGCTCAACTATCCCCCACTCCGCTGCTCCCAGCTCCACTGTCCCCGTTCCCCCAGGTCCTGGTTCTGCTCCCCCGGCTCTGCTAACGCACACGGAAGCTAACGGAGCCACCACGGCCCTTGAAGGCACCCGTTTTAAACCCTGAATGCACCATTTCACCAGTCTCAGAAGCAGCAAAATTCACATTTGAAAAGAACTTTATTTAAAATAAGTGATTATACATCATTCTTCCCCACCACTTACAAAATACAGATTTCCAAGAATCAGGAATGTCTGTTAAGTTTCATGGCTAAGTTTTGGGCATGCTCTTGGCTCTGCTGCCTGTCGCCAGGCCCGACGACAGCTCAGATGGGAGCAGCACTGGTCCCAGCAAAAGATCTGCTCCTTCACAGCGTACAGACACTTAATTACTCTCTCTAAAGATTATTTTTCTAATATTTCTAATACAACCACATTTGAAATTTGTGATCCTCCACCAAGAAGCCTGAAAAAAAAAAAAAATCCTCCTTTAGCAACTGCACACAGAAGCAGAGCAATCCAGGGCTGCCTCTCGTTACCGCGACACAGTGAGGAGCACCCGACGCCTCGGCCACCAGCAACTGGGCACAATCAACAGCGTTTCCACTGTGCTACGTGTGTCCTCGTACGGATGCAAGGAGRGCCTTTTCCCGAAGCACGAGGGAGGAACCGCGATCACCCGTCCGGGAAGCGGCTASGTGCGGGATCCGTGGCTGGGCGGCGCGGAGCTGGAGCAGCGAGTGCCTCGGGCGGGTCAGGTTAAGGATGGCGGGTGCCACAAGCCGCGGGTGCCGCACACACAAGCGGAGGGGGACAGGGTGCCGGCAGGGACGTCTCCGTACAACATTTAGGACTACGGCTTGTTTGCGAGTGGCCGGGCGTATTTACAGCAGAGCAGAGCAGCCGCCGGGAGAGGGCGAGCGCGGCCGGGGCCGCTGCGCCCGGCGGCCTCGGGGCCGCAGCAGCGGCTGGTGCCAGGAGGGCTGTGCGGGCCGGGCCGCGCCGCGCCGCGTGCGGCCGCGCTGCCGGTCCCGAGGCCGCGGGGCAGGCAGCGGGAGGCCGCGCGGTGCCGCCGAGGGCCCGGCCACGACGGCGCTCCTCGCTTCCAGCCTGAAATGTGCCTGTTTCCAGCTACGCGGAGCCTCGAGCAGATCTCGCGAGCGGCGTCTGCCGGGTCCCAGGCATCTACGCGGCCCGGGGCTGGCGTCTCTACGGGGAGCAGGAGCGCTGGCTTCGCCGAATAAGTGGGTCCACGACGGCAGATCAAGAACAGAACTTTATTGCTTTACACGAGAGGTGCGTCCCAAGGCACTGCGGCGGGGCTGGCAGCTCGGAATGACTCTGCGTGGCGGCGGCGGCGCCGCTCACATGCCCATGCGGATGCTCTGGATGATCTGGAAGATGGCTGCGAGAGAGGGGGTTGGCGGCGGCCCCGCGCCCCGCGCCGCCCGGCCCGGCCCGGCCCGCGCGCTCACCTGACCCGCACACCACGAAGATGAAGAGCGCGAGCAGCCACGGCCCCACGGACGCCTTCTCCTCCGGCGCCGTCCTCTGCGGGCACAGAGCGTCAGCGCCGCCGCCGCGCGCCGCCCGCGCCCGGCCCCCCCGCACGCACCGAGGTCTTGGCGACGTTGCCGCGCTGCGTGATGTTCTTGCTGTGCTTCTCGTTGGCCATGCGGATGCGCTGCTTGGCC